CCTTACTGGCAGGAGATTGTTTTGAGAATGGATCCTAGTGATATTTTCGACTAGACATTTGGCCCTTTGTGAGCTGAAATTTATTTGAATTTGTCCACCCCGACAGACTGTTGCGGAGGGTGGATGGATTTTGCTTTGAGTGATTGATGGTTTGATTTCGAATTTAAATATCTTAGAATTTTGGGATTTATTGGGAGGCATTTGAAAATATTTGTGAACCCCTCCGGTTGAGATAAGCAATCAACACGGCCATCATCGGGGTGTTTGGGGTCATTTCTCTTTATTTGATTAGACCTTGTCGACTCGACCAAGCTATTGATCGAGGATCGGGTTTCTTGTAAGCTTTGTGCCTTTGTTTAGTGAATTCTTCTGATTTTAGGCCTTGAAGGCCGAATATGAAAGCATTAAAATAAATATTCCGATCACATTCGTGACCGTATATTTATCTGAGAGTTTGAACCCTGTCTACTCCTATTCACTTGCTTAAAAGGATCGGGTTTCGTAGGCTTCATGCCTTTTGTTTAGTGAATTCTTTTGATTGCAGGCCTTGAAGGCCTAATATGAGTGTATTGAAACAAATACATCGATCCCCACAACCATGTATTTGTTTGAAGGTTCGAACCCTGTCGACTTCTATTGATCCATATAGAAGGATCAGGCTCGAACTAGAATTAACTTATCGACCCGCGCAGCAACCCTAGGCATCACGTGTGTACCAATAACACGCTCGCTAGAGCCCAAGCGGGTTACGATTGAATTCACCCCTTTGTGTACCTATATGTATACAATACTACGGTGCACTTGTGTAAGGGTACTTTGAAATATTTTGTAGTTGTGCAGGTAACATCCATTTGAGTGCGCACAACTTTTCATTTGAGGGCTTGTACACACCTTCTGTCAGCTAGCACGAGTATTGCGGATCCGGTGGCGTGTGTCTTGATGTTGACTCCCCTTTCTCAATCACCGGGGAAGGATCTTTCTAGACTTTGGAGTCAAAGACTGCTGATTTGGATAGAACCCCTTTTAAGATCTTCGGCGTAGCGAACTCGTTATTTTCGGTGTTTGTGGATGTCGGGATTGTTTTCTTCTCGAGTATAGGACTAAGAAGAGGCTTGGGAACACAAGGAAGTTTGGTTCTAATTTGTTCAAATTTCCTTTCTGATTCTGCCAGGGAGTGTACTTTTTCATACACCGGGTTGCCTTTGTACCCGACGTGCTTGTAGATCTTGATCACCACTATCGTAGGTGATATTCATACTTGTGTCCACAGGGATTCATTGTTCTTTTAATACATTGTTATCCACAAGTATACATTTGCAGGGGACCGCTGTATCCACTACGACCTCCTGAAAATGTTTGCAGGAGATTCATTCTTTCGGCATCATATTCACCTTTTCACCAATCTCGGGTGGGTTGATTGTACTTGTTTGACCTCGTAGGGATCGTCGTAGGAGATACTTGTACTTGTGCCCACAATGATTCGTAATGCTTACGATATGCCCACTGTTGTTATCTACAAGCGGCTCGCATTTATTTGTAAGGATCCGTTGTGTTTGCTACGAGCTCTACGAATGTTCGTAGGAGGCCCATTATTGCCTACACCATGCCCACCTGTCGCCAATCTCAGGAGGGATTTGTCGGGTTGCATTTGTTTGTAGGAAGGCGGATCCTCCATCATTGGTCTCCCGTATCGCCATCTCAATCAACAAGCAATTGTAAGGGTTGTCGTAGGAGTTCGTTGCATTGAGGTCTTGTAATGTGCTTTATGTCACTTTTGACCGTACGAGTGCTCTTATAATTTGAATTTTCTCGTGTATGATCCGAGTTTTGTTCTTTGCATATGTTTGAGTCCGGATTAAGTCTCATTTAGACACGGGTTCATCGAGTCTACAACTCCCACTTGATGTTTAGCACGAATTCAAGAACGGATTCAAGTTCTTTGGCCGGATCAAGTGCAATTCTTATCTGGATTCCTTGTTCCCCTCTTGATTTTTGACTCCATTCAAGCTCAAGTTTTGGTTCAATTCGAGTACTCGTTCAAGTTCAAATTGATTGTCCAGGGTCCTTTGAAGTTCTTTGCAAGTTCATTTTCTTGTTCAAATGATTTGAATTTGAGTTCAATTTGGTTTTATTTTATGTTTTGTTCAGGCCCTCCGCTTGTGTTCAATTAAGTTTGGCGGTTTATAAGTCCACAGTTCATGTTCATCTGAGTGCAGTTTCTTGTTCTTTTATGTCCCAAACTTGCTCATATATAGGCCAAAATTCTGTTCAAGTCCACCGTGTCTTCAGTCTGAATTTCGGCAGCCTCCCGGCGTCTCCCCCGTTTAGAGGCAAAAACCAAGAGGCAACCTTCCCCTCGACGCTACGTGAGCGCTTCAGGTAGATGTCAAAAGTGACACCGCGGTCGCACATGTATTTTTTTATCCCCGTCCGCTACTTGAGCGTTTAAGGGTGTTTTGTTTATTATAAGAAGAAAACTCGTTAGAAATAAGCACGAATTTCCCCCCTCTGCACCACGTGGGCGTTCGAGGATACTTATATAAAAATAAAGAACACATTTTTTTATCCCCTTCGCCGCAAGCGTCGCACCGGTTTCCCACCCTAAACGCTACTTGAGCGCCTCGGGGGTTTGCCGGCTCATTGCAAGCTTTGAAGAGGGATTCTTAAATCGTCGCGAGCATCGCACCGATTTCCCACCCTAAACACTACGTGAGCGCCTCGGGGGTTTGCCAGCCCATTACAAGCATCTAGGCGATTTTCGCCTCGTCGTAGGCGTCGCACTAGCTTCCCTCCCTACAACGCCAGGTGGGCGCCTAGGGGGTTTGCTAGTTCGTCGCGAACGTCGAGGAGAAAATCTAAGTTTAGGGAATATACCTTCAAGACCGGCGGTGGAGGCTCGGATGTAGAGGTAGGAGAAGGCACGAGCATTCTTCTTTTATTAATTATAATTAATATCAATTAATTATAATTAATTAAGAAATTATTTTTAATTAATTATTTATAATTAACTAAAGGTAATTCTAATTAAAGTTAATTATAATTAATTAGATTAATTATAACAACTTAATTAAAATTAAGTGTAATTAATTATAACATATATAATTAATTAAAAATAACTATTATAATTAATTAAAATTAATTAAAATAATTATAATTAAATATAAAATATCACTTTACTTTTTTTTTTGTTTTTACGGGATTAGGCCGAAGAAGCGTGCGGTAGGGAGAAAGTTACCTACACAGCAGCGAGCTCCCCTTGTGGCTTCCGCTCAAAATGTTGAAACTTTCGGTCCGACAGACAGGGCAAGCCGTCGAAGGAGCAGAGTCGTACGGAGGAGGCGACGGGAGGGGTGAGGTCGGACAGTGGCAGAGGTAAGAACTTCAATCTCTCTCTCTCTCTCTCTCTCTGCTCGAGAGCTCCAGGGGATCTGGCCGAAGGAGCACTGGACGAGAGATGGAGGGGAATTGATCAGGCTTGAGGGAAAGCAACGATTGCAGCGAGCGGCCTCTCCCTTGCTTCCGATCAAAATGTCGTAACCTCAGATTCAACAGGAAGGGAAAGTCGTAGAAGGAGCGAGGTCGGGAAAAATGAGAGAGGGCGAGAGCGTGAGCGGAGGCCTTCGGCCTCGTTCCCTTTGTCCCTTTTTAACGACGAGCTCGAGTCGTGCGCACGACGTGGGGAGAAGTGACGTCGATATGGTCTGGACGTGCGAACGACGTGCGAGATCGTGGCTTCAACGTGCGATGGCAGAGGGTGTGGATTTGATTTTCCTCTCTCTCTTTTTTTTATGTTACAGGTCAACAGTTCCCAAGCTTGACGTGGATTGTATCTAAGTGAGTGAAGGGTTTCTGACTTTCTGAAGTAGGTGATTTCCTATAAGCAAGTTCAGCGAGCTCAAGAAGTGAGATCTTTGACTGAGATAAATGAGATATGCTTTTCTAACAAGTAGCCTTCTGGTTGCCAAACATAGGGAGAGTGACGACCCTTGAGAAAAGTCCTCTATTAATCATGGGCGAGTCCTTTAAGGTAACTGCTCTTGAGAAGGAAGAACTTTATCACAACCTGGTCACAACATGTGAGGGTACCTAAAAAGGAGATAAGGGATGCACAAAGATCATATAGTAGATCTCAATATGTAATGTCTCCACTAGGTGTAAATGAATCAACTAAAGCTAGAGTTAGCCTCTTCTTGAACTTATATTTAATTAATTAATCAAGTTCAATCTCAAGATTGAGCTGACTTTTATTACTTCAAGCTTACGTACTATTAAAAAGAGATAATGATACCCTTATGATGAACCATGGCAATAAAATTAATAAACAAATGACAACTTGGAGAAAAAAAAAAAGAGAAATGACAAGAGGAAATAACAAGCTTCTTAGAGATTTTTCCAAACTTTATCCATAATCCCTTAATTTCTAATAATCATAAAACTCAACATAGCATAAAAATAGTATAGGTAAATTGTTTACCTTGATTACTACCATCTTTCCGGTACTTACAAATCATTGAACCAATTGTATCAACAATAACTATTTGTCACCATTTCCTAAAATAACATTAACCAAGGATTCTTTATTATACTATTTATTTTTCTCTCGTTGAAATGGGAAAAAAACCTTTGTTGTAATTTTTTAATAGAAATTGTCTTGCATTAATTTTCATTAAAATTTTAAATTTCAATTAACTCTTTTAAAAAACTATCTTCTCGCACTTTTTTTTTTTTTTTTTTTAAAGTTCTGTCATCTCATCAAACAGAAATGTAAACCGTATTGTATGAAAATCATTTAATTGCATAGCCAGAAAAATATAGAACGACAGTAAAGCATATTAGTTCATTATTCTGCAGTCTAAACATCAAAAATGCATGATAAAACTTATTTTGCATATTATTGATATTATGTTTTTTCTATATAGAGGGCATAAGAATAAAAGTTGACAGCAATGGATGTCAAACATCCGTAGATCACAATAAAATATAAAAGCCAGCAATAATACCTGACACTGGGCAAACCTGATGTTGTTCATTATGATGATTAGCCGTATCCTGGACAAGCTGTCAGCCAAAATTCGAACAGCAAGAAGCTCTAAAAAGTTCTGCAATGCACGGAATTGGATTTCTGAATCCTCAGCCTCATAATCAGCAAACCATAACACTGAATTAACTTCTTTCCATGGGATATCGCCTTTAGTTTCAATGATAGATTGACAAGGTTGTCTGACATTCCATAGTACCCTGACACCAGTAGGAAAAGCACTTATGCATGAAGAATCTGGATGTGCAGTCGTAGCAATTATCTTGTTTGGACTAAATTGTGAAAGATTTGATGTAAAATGCAAATTTTTATCGTTGAACACAAGCACACAACCATCAGCAGTTGAAGGCAGAAGTTTTAGAAACGAATAAGAAGTAATTTCATCTTCTTGAAAACAGCCACTGGATGCAGTACCCGATAAAATCCTGGGGCCATAATCATGCAAAAAGAAACAGGAATCTCCATAACGACATCCCTGTTTGATAAAAATTAGTCAGCGGTAATGCATAATTCATAAATCAGCATAGATACAGTAATAAAAATGATTAAAGGTTCACATTCTTCTCCATGAAACGATTTGCAAATATGTTCAGCAAATGAATGACTCCAACTAAATAAACAAGTTATATTATATTTTACATAGCCTACCAATTAAATAAACAAGTTATAATGTTATCTTATCTTTTAAATAGTCTTACACAAATTATGATAAAACTGCAAAACATTATCGCTACTTTTCATATAGAGAATACCACAAACAACTGGAGTTGGTGGTCGAACATCCCATCCCTCACTATTGTTATTATCCGAGTCACTAAATCACTCTAATGAATAGATAACGGAGAATACCACAGACAAGAAAATAAAATTTGGGTTATTTCGGGTGCAAAGGGAAGAGAGAGAAGCTCCACAATTCAAGGAATGATTTGGAAAGGGAGTTTGAAGATTTCGGGTGCAAATATTGGAGATGGTAGAAGGTGGCCGGTCATCTATGGATGACCGGAACACCAAATCCATTTTATCTACTGCGAGTCCAATTATGTTGGATTCAAAAGGTAGATTATCCTTCAAACGCATCTCCCCTCACAATCTTCGTGTTTTGGAATCTCCTCTTGTTCTCAAAGAGGGAGGCTTGTTGGCTAAACATAAGCCATTGTCGGATTCAAGTAAAGGGAAAGAGGTAATTTCAGCTTCTTACAAGTTACTTAAATCTCCTTTACCGGTTTCTTTTTTTGGAGCAAATGACAAAGAAGCTTCTTCTTCAAGGACCAGTTTTGTTGATATTTTGAAGAATGACAAGGAGATTGACAAGGCTAATGTCAATATCAATAATCCAAATATTTCTTCAAATTTTGATAATTCTAAGGAGTGGACTAAAAAACCACACATTAAAATTAATTGGAATAAAAATCTTGATGAGATTGAAGAGTTAAACATTGTTAAACTGGATGTGGATAAGGAAAAATCCAATATTCAAGTTTTGAGTAAATCTTTGGTTGTTAAAATTCTTGGGAAAAATTTATCTTTATCTAAATGTGCCATTGAGTTAAGAAAGCAATGGAAGAAATTTGGAGGATTCCATTTAACCATTCTTGGCCTAGATTGGTTACTTTGTTCATTTCAATCTCATTAAGCCATGGAAGAAGTCTTTAATGGAGGTCCATGGTTTGTAAGGGGCTTTGCAGTTGGATTAGACAAATGGTCTCCTAACTTCTCTCCTAATTCATTGGAAGGTATTTCATGTCCGATCTGGGTTCGTCTTCCTCACTTACCACTTCACTGCTGGGATGAGTCCAATATCACTAGAATTGTCTCTAGAATTGGGACTCCATTACTATTAAATGGTAATATGTTTAGGTGGGGAAGAAGAGAATTTTCTAGAGCCTGCATTCTAGTTAATTTGAACTCTAAACTCCCTTCTGGAATATGGGTTGAAGGGTTGCATGGTAGATTTTTTCAAAAGTTTGAATACGAAAATCTTTCATCGCTTTGTTTTAAATGTGGGAGAATAGGGCATATTGATTCAGTTTGTCCTAATATTGAGGAAATCCCTTCCATCTCAAATCATAATGATAATCTTTATGGTCCTTGGATGCAAGTTAAATTCAAAAACAAGAAGAGATCAATGAGAAATCAATTGAAATCCAGAATTTTTTCAGCAGCAGAAAAATCTGGAATGGGTTGTAGAAGTGAAGAAACTGTTCTTGCTGAACCAGAAGAATTGGCAGATTGGAACAAGATCAAAATGATGTCCGATCCAGTGGAAGTTGCAGATCAAATTGAAGAAAATGCTGGATTCAATTTAGGAGATGAAGTGGCGATTAACCAGAAATTGAAAATCAGCATAGATTCTCAGGATTCAATTTTGAATCTAATTCGTTTAAGCTTTGGCTGATGAGGATAATATGGGTGCTGGTTTGTTAGGAGAATACAGTGCTGATCAAAATTCAAATAATAAGGTTGATGAGATGGCTTTCTCTCCAACTAACTCAGCTCTCATTAAGGCCGAAAAGAAGGATGAAAAGGAGCTGAAGCCGGTTTCTTCTCCAACAAATCCAGCTGGCCATATGCTGGAGGACGGTCTAATTGAAGGAAATAACGAATCTACTGTTATTTCAGAGGATAATCAGAAGGTTGTTGGGAATTTGGAAATTCAAATTCCACAAATGATGGAGGCGGTTAAGGAGAAATCTGAGAAGCAGATTTCAGATTCAACTCCTATTAAGACAGCAAATATTTCTGAAATGTTTGTTAATGTTGATGAAACAAAAGATGGCTTTTCTAAAACCATTTCTCCTAATTCATCAACCAGTTTAAAGTTCAAAAGAACTGTCTTATTGAAGAATAAAAAAGTCTCTTCTTTGGAGCTTGGTTCTTCAAATTCTAAACACAAGCTGTTCAAAGAACTACAAGATCTTGGACCGGTGAAAGAACTACCTAGAAGAAAGTTTGCTAATCACAAAGAGAAGAACGGTTTGAGATGTTCTTCTTCCCTTTTATCTCACTAAAAATGCAAAAAGTTTCTCCCGTGGATAACAACATAACAGAGATATACTTGAAGAAGGAGCTTATGATCATAAAGTTTGGCGAACTAATACCAAACTTTTGGAATTTATTTTTGAATTGTAATTTTCTTCTTAGCTGTTATTTCCTTTTTTTTACTTTTAATTTGTTATTTTAAACTTTGTCTAAATGATTATGAGATCTTTACTAATTCTTATTTTCTAACTGGATGAGAACTCAGGGATACTAATCAACCCTTGGGTTGTCTTAAATTTTGGTATCCCCTGCATCTCAACAGTTTCAAAATAGGAGATAGTGGATTTCATTTCATTTATAAAAAGTTTAAATTAACATATTTAGTTTTAATAAGGTCCCTTTTTCTTATTGAAAAATTGAAAAATGGATCATTAGCTTTTATTACCTAGATTGTATTAGGTTGTCTTCTCTTTTATTTTAATGCAATTTTTGCATTTCTTCAAAAAAAAAAAAAAAAGAATAGATAACGGAGTCGATAATTGAACATCCCCATCCTCAAGGATAAGATAAATAAATAATTTTCTTTTTTGTGAGAAATGTGGTTAAATCATTACACTAAACTTCCAAGATGGGTTGGTAACAACCACAATCTAAGATACTTGAGGAGCAAGTTCAAATTGATGATCCAAATTATTGGCCAAATCATTGGATAATTACTCATCCAATCAAAGATTGTTCTATATTCAAAGATTAATTGAAAAAGAAATTCACATCACAGCTCTGCTAAAATAGTTATGTATTTTCTAGTTCAAATTTTCATAAATCAAATTAGGGTGCAAATAAGATAGTACACAAAAATTTAGCACATTTTAACCAAGGATTTTATAATCTGATTTCAAGTTTCCCATAAGCACAAACCTATATGAGTAATTAATCCTCTTGTTAATGAGAGAATTTTTGATTAAGACTAGTTATTAAAAATAAATGCTTAATGCATAATAGCAACAATTTTTAGTTTAAAATGGAGAAATTTATCATCGTAAATTTAAAGTGAATAGTGAGAGAAAATGATAATGATCGTGATCATGATTCTATGGTTTAGTTGCCCCAAATTGTCTGATCCCTTATATGTTCAGTAGGCGGAGGTAGTTGATCAAACCTAACTAAAGGATCACTATTGACAGTTACTAATTTTATCATCCAAGAAAACTTTGTAGACTCGAGATAAATGTTCGAATAAGAGGATGAATTTAAGCCGCTATTTTAGACGATGGCTCCTATGACGGTTGTATTATTTATGAGAAAAGATAAAGATATGATACATGCATAACAAAGAAGTCATGAACGAAATGATTAAATAGAATTACTTAATGATTTAAATCAAGCTTGCATATTATTCCTGATACCTTGTGTAACTATAATTTAGAAGAATTACTTAATAAGTTATCTTATGACTTATCCTTTTCATGGAAAAATATTTTCAGGTATAATTCGATAAACTAAAATGAGCAAAAGAGAAGAAAATGTATATTGTAAGATAGGCGCAGCAAGAAATGTATTTATAATATTTAATTTTGTTTCAAATTTTAAGGATTTAGTGGCTCTTTTAATTTATTGGTGATAGATTTAGCAAATAAAAATTTAATCACTACCCAGACATTTCGCCCTTATTTTGGGAGGACTTTAGATCTGAGTTCTGGTTTCCTATAGGCGCAAGCCCCTGTAGTTAATCATCCCTCCTGATCACGAGAGAGAACTTTCGATTAAGGCTAGTCGTCGATTAGATACATAATATGTATCTAACACATAGTAGCAACGTGGGTTTAGTTGTTCAAATTTAATATTTAAAATTGTAAATGTACCATCTTGTACTAAAGAGGATGGTGGGGGAATGGTGATGATGGACCCGATCAAAATCCCTTAGTTTCATCATCCCAGACCATCATGGTGGCTGGTCCACTTAGCGAGAGGACGTAGTCGACCAAACCTAACAGAGGGATCCTTGTTAGCAGCCATGGGTTGCGTCATTCAAGGGTACCTTGTAGACCTAAGGTGGATGTTTGTCTAAGAGAACAAATTTGAATCTACCTTAGCTAACAGATGGTTTTGTACCCTATCGACCATATCACATTGATTCATATCTCAAGGATTTAATGTCATTGGGGGCATACAGGCTATAGTCATGACCGTAATTTAGTGATGCCATTTGGCGACAAACCACCATATTCAAAGGGCTCGAAAGTAGTGCTTTCCCTTGGAGATGGAAAATTCGTCCACCCGGTTTCATCAATTTGCAAATTCTTCCCCGCTAATTAAAAGAATGAAATTGACTGATATCATGACGATACTAGGTAGTATAGATATCATTATGGGAGAAGTTGATCGTTGAAATGATAATTGATACGACAGAAGTACAAACTATTCATTCTTTTTATAGATTAGAATCCTTAAAAGAAGTCTATGGATTCATATGGATTTTTGTCCCCATTTTCATCC